TCGCAGCTGCGCCATGCAGCGGCAAAACATCGGCGAAACGCGCGTGTATGGGCTTTTGGCTAGTACCTGTGCTGTTAGTATGGTATCACCTTACCCTAAAGGGTAGTATGTCAACTGTCCTGCCGAGATCGCGGTGGCAAGCCTCTTATGCGCGCAAGATCGACAGGTGGATTTGCTAATATGCTGGATACTTCAGATAGTTTGGATTGTCTGATTACAAAAAATGATTTTTTAACGACGCAGCACTGAAATGGAATGCTCACATGGTCAGAAATTCGGGAACGCTGTGGTAACTTGACTCGTGGAGCGCCAAACATGAATTCGGACGATTGTTGTTTCGGTCCCATCCTGGTCGCACGAGTTTCAAATTTCCCTAAATTAGTGTGGTAAAAAAAGTCCGGTTGGACAGGGAAAAAAGAGCCTGTAGTACAGGGTTAAGACGGTTAGAATTATGGACAGAAACAAAGTAATGACAGGGGAATATGTACCCTGGGAAGTTAGCGCAAAACCACTTGTAGTACGGGGGACCCCTATTTCCGACAAAATAAAATTCAAACAAGTATGCGGGTTAGAGTATCTGAAGCATAAAACAGTTGTTCGGTGGAGTTTAGCTAGGCTACACAAACGTGGACCCTATCGAAAACCAAATTGTTTATCCCTCTAACTTCTACAGATGTCTCTAAGGTGACGATGAACGAAAAGGCGCAGAAACTGCAACCCCTCCTACAAAGAGAAAAAACAGCCTACGGTTTTGCAAAATGGGAGGCCTTGAAGGTGTGCCCTAAAACCCTAATACAGCATGCTCAAGTGTTTAATGTCTCGCCGGCGTCAGACAGGCTACCGGTGAGTCGCATGGCGACGAGAGGAGTGATAGCACCCGAGGCACAAAGAATGTCCTTGGAGGATGGAAAGGACGAAGAGTCGGCAGACGTCCACAGAGCGGAGAACATCCTGAAGACATATAAAGGTAGGCTTGGATGAATTATATATCACCGATAGATGATCCTGGAGACTACCTGTTGGTGCCCTAAGGTGTTACTTAATTGTAGTTAGTAGGATTATTTGAAATGCTAAAACATAGGTACGAGTTCTGTTAAGACCGACCTGCAGACATGTCCTTTATGTGTTTGCAGTAATGTAACCCGTTAATCAAAAATTATATTATATATAATGGATTTATGATACGTATTCTCAGTCTGATTAATTACATATAACGACACTGTACAGGCCTTAAGAGATCGAACTCACTTTTCAACACTATCATATGAGGAAAGGAAGGCATTTAAAAATCGCAAAACTGACGAAAGCATTGTCATTCTCCCCGCAGACAAGGGAGGCTTAGCTGCGACTTTGAACAAATCAGATTACAATGAGAAGATGCTGTCGCTTTAAGAAGATAGCTCATCGTATGAGCCTCCTTCCACAGACCCTACGAAGGGACAGAATTCGTCTATTGATAAGCTGCTGAAGCGCCTCACGGGAACGAAAAACTGCCAGGAGATATTGCAAAATCCCTGAGCCAATCCGAGCCAACCATCGCCAAGATCTACGAATTACCCAAAGTTTACAAACCTGAGGTATCACTGCGACCGATAGTACCATTAGTCGGTTCACGCACTTACAAAATCTCTAAGTGGTTATTCCACCAACTCCTCCCACTTACGATAGATTGCGAAACTTCCTTCGGAACTCCATACAGTTTCTAGGGAAACTGAGAGGAATAACAATTCCGCGGATGTAATAATGGTCTCCTTTGATATCGTTTCTTTATTCACATCCATACCGCTAGATTTCGCAAAGCAATGCACTTATAAACTAGAGTCCTATGACACGGATGTTTCCGCAGCTGCCTTATTTGAACTCATGGACCTTTGCTTGGAAACATATTTTTCGATCGATCACAAATATTATCAACAACTAAAAGGAGCTCCAATGAGACCACCTATATCCGGCTTTCTTGCCAAGGTGACAGTGCAGAAACTAGAATCGGCAGCTCTTCCATTTGTTAACCCTAAGTTGTGTGTACGATATGTGGACGACACATTTATTGTCGTTAAAAAGGATCAACTTGAAATGCTCCACAATACCATTAACACAACCATTCTGGGAATTAAATTCACGCTTGAAAAAGAAGTTGACAGTAAACTTCCATTTCTAGATGATATCGTACAGCGTAAGACTGGCGGGACATTACACACTTCCGTTTACCGCAAAGAAACATATGCGGAAATAATTCTAAACTATGAGAGCAACGGTCCGATCTCTCACAAGAGGAGTACTGTCAAGTCTGATACATCGAGCAAAAATACAGTGCTCTGATGAAGAAAGTTACAAAATTGAACTAAACTACCTATTCGAATTATTTTCCCAGAATGGAAAGATCGCCTACTGCTTTACGTTTATCATTTGACTACATCTTCATGTATAGTTCGTCGTAACTAAGACAACTTAACCAAAGATGTGCTGGTGAATGTTTGAGCACAGTCCATTACCATCAAGTTCACCGGAGATTACTTTTCGCAAACCAGGATGGTAGTTGCAAAGTGCGTACTTCACTATCTTAATGGAGCAGGTTGCAAATATAACGGGGACGCGAAGCCAACACCGTTACCGAAAGTAGTAAGTGGTTCCACGATGACAGTTCAGGTATTGTGATAGGCGTGAGGTTGCATAGTGACTGCGTCTTATGAATACCGCACTCCATTGTCACCCACCTACAGTCGTCTCTGATGATGGATTCGAGTGCAAATCCGAAACATCAGGCAAATGAAATCCTCGTTCCAACGATCGCGTCCCCTCTTGTCAACTGCCTCCTTGATCGCGCAGCCACTAGCGTTAATCAGTTCCACATCGAAATACCATTGGTCAGTTTTCACACTGGTCACCATAACAATATTTTGTCACTACCTAACCCCAATGTGCAAAACTTTAACACGCTAATGACGTTGCATACTTTTTTTTACAGATCGCCTTGTCCTTGTGGTGGAGCAGGAACAATTACCCATTACGAACGAGGAACTGGATATAGTGGCTTCTTATGCCAGACAGAAAGTCATTCCAATTCCAGCTTCGGTTTTGTTTGATCATGCAAGGCTTGCGCCATTGTTTATTAAATTGAATATCACCTTTGGCGCGTAGAGTAGTGACGTTGTCTGTTGCTCATATTAGGGGTTGAAGGACCCATGATAACTGACCAAAAGTGCTCAGCCATAGGGATTTCTTTCTAAACAATTTAATGTATTTGAATTTTTCCCAATAATCAGGTTGTATTAGATCAATTTTCTTAAAACAAGGTGTCACCCGAGTTCTCTTGGCTCTAATCAAAAGGAAACGGCGGGACTCTTCAGAAATATCCTGGCTTACAGTCCAGCGGACAAATTTGTAACTTTACATGGAGGTGGTATTTGTGCCGGGCGCCTATCTTCCAATGCATTGTTTCTAAGACGCTTATCAGCCACAACAAGTGCACATTTATACGAAGTGCACTTTTATGACGAGTTTGCACGCCACTCCAGTGTCGTCTACGATGCCGCAAGTAATCTGTGTGTTTGGATCAAAATTCCAGTCGACATAGATTGCGCGGATATTGTTCTATCTGTCCAAATACTTTCCAGACAAAAGTTGGGATTAAGAAGAAAAGTTATTTGCTTATATTCCAGTGCGTCGAAGCTGCTTTCCAGCAAGCAAACCAGAAAGGAGACGTGGCCATCCTCTGTGCGGAATTATCAGTCGTGAGCATCAGAGCGCGATTTTGTTTCTTCCCAGACAACGGATTTTAATGGAAAAAAGAAGTTGAATAAAACTCACAAAGCTACAATCCTCGTAGCACATGTACTGGCAGAAAGCCGAATTTGCGTCATGAATTGACACAAAATCCTTGGAGTAGGGGGGACGCAGGCTGGGATTTTCCAGTTTTTCGACGACCCAGACGCCGGCTATCATCTCAGCCCTGCTCCCACTAGTCCTGACTAGAGGCAATCACCGGTCCAACGGAGCGGAGTCAATTGGCGGTAACAAATACATAGAACCTGTTCCCGTCCGTAAACGTTTGGCTCTAGTAAAAGGTCCACTACACATCTAGAAGAATGTGTATTGGGCATCAATAGGGCATAATCATCCCCTTCGAAAAAGCAACCACTGCCTATTTCGCGATTACAGGTGTTTCGTCTCTAGATGTTATTCACGCAAACACTTGTCGAAAGCCTGCAATTCGGCGAGATGCACGAAGGCAAAGCACTGCACTCTGTAAACGTCAGCGGTCGAACTTAGATCCTCCTCGACAGTGCATGCGAACATTCTAGAAGTGTCTGCTCTACGCGAAAAAAACAGTTCTTAGCGCGTATTTTGCACATTCCAGACGATCAACATGCGCAACGATCCCCGCCTCCCAAGAATTCACAATGGTGAATAAATTCCGGCAGTTAACGACTCCGCTGCGGACTAACAAACCATCATCGTATCATATATGGGTCCCAGAGATGAATGTAGAAGCTTCCAATTAGAGTAAGCATTTTGTGGCGTAAAAACTGTCCCCCGTAGTGGCTGCATCTTCGCGCCTCCATCGTCTTTATCTGCGAATGTCTCAGTGAGAATCTGAAACGTCGGGCCAAAAAACCACTTGTTACAGCGACTAAATCCTCTTCAGGTGGCGTCAATGGAGAATACCAGCTGAGAACAAGGGTTTTCTATTGGAAGAGTTGTACAATCCGTTGAAATAAGTATAAATAAAGAAAAAAAACACGTTATGCATCACAGGCAGGCATGAATGACCATAGTAGTATAAAATCGAGGTTGGGGAAAAGTACTAGTCAGGATAAAGAAAGAGTTGACAAGGGAAACTCGTTGATTTTGCCAAGTTATGAAAACAGTGTTAGACCGGACAAGATGATAGTGCTGGAAGTTCGAAAAAGATCAAACGGATTCTCAGTTAGTGCAATGCGACAAGTTCCCTCTCCCATAATAGATAGGTGAGGGTGATGGGGACGGGGTGGACGCATATGTCACGGCTGAGGCCTTCTCCGAGTCTTCTGCTTGTCGAAACGTGCCTCCATCTCGTCCAGCACCTTAGGCGTGTAGCGCACAACCAGTCGTACGGTGCCTTTAAGGAAGTCAAAGTGCAAAATTGAAACTTAAAACCGAGGTATATGCCCTAACAGAGGGGGGAAAAACGAACCGGGGTGACGCGGCTACAAGGAATACCAAACGTATCAAATTACATGAACTGGGCTAGCCAGCTCACAAACATACCATGTCTTGCCGTAAAGAATTCGTCGCCTGCACTGCGCAGAATTTTATCCTAATTATCAAGATTGCCCAAAACAAGAAGCGGCACTTCCTATGAAGAGCGATACTACTTATGAGGACCTGCAGGCGAAGGGCATCTTGAAATTTTGAAAGGACGAAAAATGTACAACTTAACAAGACGGAGAAATCTAGTCATGATGTCGTGTTGTCCCCCCCCCCCCCTATGGTTGCAGTGCTGACGTCTAGCTGAAGAGGAGCGACAAAACAATGAGACCAGCATAGCCTACAATTACTTCCGATTAAAAGTGTAAGTTTCCCAAATTTTTCAGCAGAGAACCCCGCTTCGTTTGTCTGCTCAAAAACTGAGCCGAATATCAGTCGACAAGTACAAAAGAACAGCCAAACAAAGGGTGAGCTCAATAAACGACCTTCAGTCAAGCATAGTACGACCAGATTAAGGGATACTGCGACGATAAACTATCTAAGCATTCGACCGCAAAAAGGCTACTAAAGAATGACGCGTGGTCTCGCTGGTGGAGAGCCAATTCGTCCTAAGTAAACCTCCCAGTTGTACATCGGACAGCTCGTTGATAGCAGATGGTGACAAAGATCGTGAACTTTTCTTATACGTTTGGGATAGGTGGATAGGATGGTCCCGTTCGAAATACTAGAAGCCACCGCCGCTGACATGCATTCATAAAGGTCGGACATGACAGCCGGCTTGCGAGATATGTACAGCGCGTAACCGATCTCATGAAATGTTGGCCAAGATTCTGGAATGTGTTTCCGATTGGGAAGGATTACTTAAGTGGGATTATTATACTCATTATCATGCAGCATAACCCTATAACATTTCGAACTCGCCAGGATGCCGGATTTTGAATGCACTTCTTTTTGACCTCCTGTAGAAACCACTCGGCAAAAACTGACTACTTAAGTAGCATGCATTTTTCCTATTGATTTTCGATTGTCTTATAAATTCAAACATATTTCACAGAAACCATGCACAAAAGTAAGCTTTCTTCTGCCCGCAGAACGTGTGTGCTTAGGTTTTAGAAAAGTTTCCCAATTCCTGAATAATTTTCAGCCTGATCTGCCATTGCATCAGCGTTCAGCAATTTCTGTCCACAAAGCGCACGCCTTCCGCGTAAGGAAAATTATATATTCCTCTATACCTTTAAAGAGATACCACATGGAGTTCACGAAATTTTGCAATGGATCCGGATTGCGTTGTACATTTCATGAGGAGCATTATCAAACGGACATGTGCGGTCTTGCATGCATGGACATCGTACGGTCTTAAAAATATCATAATTAGAAACTTTTTTAAAACTTAAATACACACTCACTTCGGGCATACAATATGAAAACAATGTGATTTCCTACCAAATGAGCAAAAGGAAGCATACTTTTGTGCGTGTTTTCTGTAAAATTTATTTGAATTTATAAGACCACCGAAAATCTATAAGAAAAATGCATACTACTTAAGTAGTCATTTTTTGCCGAGTGATTTCTGCATGAGGCCAAAAAGAGGTGCATTCAAAATCCGACATCCTGGCGAGTCCGAAATATTATAGGGGTATGCTGCATGATAATGAGTATAATAACCCCACTTAAGTAATCCTTCCTAATCGGAAACGCATTCCAGAATTTTGGCCAACATTTCATGAGATCGGTCACGCGCTGTACGTACGAACTGCGAAAAAGGTGTCGGTGCAGTATTCACTCACAGTAGAAACTGTGCACTCTACCACTCCGTCCGGGAGACGAGTCCGACAAAACAAAACCGTTCGCTCATCTCCACCGGCATAGTTGTCCAGAAATGCGACAGAATCAACACTCACCTTGAGCAGACTTAAGTAGTTCAACCGCTTTTTCGTGATGTTCATTTTCCACGGATACCCCGTTTACAGAGAGAAGCTGATCTCCTCGTTTGAGGCCGCCATGACGATGGGCCACACCACCAGGGATAATGCGGCTGATATAGATAGGCGAATTCTGCTCCTTGCCACCCATTACGTTGAAGCCCAGACCTTCGTCTGTCTTCGGCAGCTCCACGATTCGTGGATGGGCATGGCCCTCACTGGCAGCAAAGGCCGCTACAGTAGCCTTAGCTGTAGCACTTGCGCGCACCTCAAATATAAAACAGGAAATAATTCGTCAAGAAAGACATAAGGCACCAAAAAATTTCAGCCTAAAAGTGATAACTGTGAAAATGTCCACCGGTTTGTATAATGCACGCAGACTGTTCACCATTTTGATCAAAACTGCTCTGTAATTTGAATGGTCGGCCCAGCAAAGCCATGCAAAAACACCTAATTCGGTTCCACAGTAGGAGAAAAGAATATCAACAGACGACAACCGTGCTCACATGCTGAGGGGTTATGGCTTTAGCAAATCCCCAGTTTTAAAAACTGTCGCTGCCTAGACTTTGTAGCACGACCATGTGAACCCCTCTCAAAAAGCACATCCCGAACTTCGTTTGCGTGCGTGCCAAGAGGGTTCAAAATACATCTCAGACATCACCCGTACAAGGATGCTATGGCTCTTAAGGGACTTTTTCCTAAACACCCGCGTTGAAAGCCTGTTTTGTACATATTTATAGGCGACAGAAGGACAAAAGTTTGTCCACGCTCCTTATAGATGTCAACAGGGATCTGACGGACATAACAGCGATAACAATCTTGGCAATACAGACTACACAGAACGACGGTGCAGGCCATTTATCGCATTTTATGGAAGTCGACGTCAGCGAAAGAACTTACTGATGGGTGCGAATTAACATAGGAGGCGCGGAATGCCCTAAGAATTTATGAAGCAGAGCAGAGCAAACTTGACATAAAGTTCTACAACATGTAAACTGGCGGTAAGTACTAGAGGACCTTTCCGGCCAGCTGGATGCATACAGTTCTCAACCCTCAGATCCGCCCTAGAGCCATTATGAAGTTGGACTAGAACTTTATTTAGTAGACGCACAGTACGTCGCTGCTCTATTTACCCGCCAAATCCCTGGCATTTCTGACAGACTAGAATGGTGCAAGCACTGCCCCGATGGATCTTTTGGTCTTGCCTGACAAATTTTATTCCTGTAAGAGCAGACTGGTGGATAAATTGTGCCAAACAGACACTGATAAGAGTCAGTACGTGTGGAAGCTAGTCACACTCAACTTAACGTCAGAAGGAGCTGGAAACGGATTGCTAACAGAATATAGCTAAAAAGGTAAGGAAAACGCAAATGAAAGATGAAGAGGTCTTAAAAACAAAGTAGTCGACAAACCTCTTCAGGGCCGGCCATGTCGACGACATGGTATATATGTTCATACCCTTCACGGACCATATTTAGGAAATCTGACTGCAATATGCGCTGCAAAGCAGCAAGTTTCGCGGGCTGCAGTGATGGACATTTCAAAAGATTATCCAAAAGTTCAATGGCTCTGTTTATGTCTATTTTATGTCTGAAAAGTGAAAGGAAAGCCATACCTCTTTGTAAAGTCAATGGCTTGGCCATTATGGTGCAGACGCACACTGAAACTCGAGTCGTGCGGGCTAACTGTATCTCTCTGGTTGGACGACTCAATTTACTAAAGTCTGTGGAAATGGTGGTAAGTGGAATCGTTTGAGTACTTTCAAGTTAACTGTTGGAAATCCATTTAAGCACAAGGTCAAATCAATAGCTAACGCGTGCAGTTATGTAGAAAATACAGGGCTAGAGTGTCAGTATGCAGCCGCATAGGATGTACAGTGGGAATGGTTGTCCCGACGACAAATTCGCGAAGTTATATATCCATGCTCTCGGGTTTCTGCCAGCAGATCCTGGAAGGTTAGGGAATCCCTTTGAAAGGACATGGCGGGAAAGTAATTTGGACTTAAATTCCGATTACTAACAAGAAACCTATCAACAATGTGTTTGCGGCGGCAAGTTGCACACCCGCACTGAACACAAGGACTGACAAGCTACGTATAAAACGGAAGATAAGCATTAAGAAGCACCTCAGTTTGCAGTCAGATCACTTAAGCCAAGACGCCAAAATGCAACAAATCTAAGAATCGACGGTGACTCGGATATTTCATAAGACAATCTAGTACCTCTGCTAATCTGAAAACAATACCAAATATTAATAACAACAACTACACATAATGCCATTTCACAGGAAATATCAGAATATATATCAAATGCGTAGCGGCAAATAGTTGAAGTATGCTGGCATGGTAGTACAAACGCAGTCGCTTTTGATATGCAAGAATGCGCTTGATTGTTGTGATTTTTGTTAATAAGAAGAAATTGTGACCCTAAAAATATTTGCAGTCAAAATCAGAAACCGGTAACTTTGAGGTTAACAGGAGCCTCAATGTTGTACT